GTGTAGCTTGCATGCTAGGACCAATCCTCTCACCCAATATCTGACAATATTGTGCTGCTGTCAAATGCTCATTAACAAATCTAAGGGGAATTGTACCATTAGCATGGAAAGCACCCCACACCATAATAGAATTGGTACTTTTGGACACAGGCTTGAGGTATTTTGGTTTGAGCTCTGATCCTCTAATGAAGACTGCATGCCCTTTCCCAGTAGGTCTGATAGTGTAAAGCTGGGTCTCATCAGATGACAAAACTATAGATCAATCATTAGCTGCCCAGTGCTCGTGGGCTCTAGCCCACTTTAAACAAAGTTTTTTGTTTGACTGTGAGTAGAGGAGATTTGGAAATAACTTTGGAATAACCTCCAAGTTTAAAGACATAGTTTTTAATAGTGTTTTGTGACCCATTGAAGACACCATCAGCTTTTAACTGCCTCCACAAGCTATCAATACTGTAGGACTCTCTACCATCAATATAGCGCTGAATAGCAATTTGACACTTTTCGGTGACAATACCAGGATGGCCTCTGCCTCTTCTGCCAGGAGAGATATTGTGGTTCCACATATAGCTGCGTATAGTGTGATAGTTGATATTGATTATCTTTGAAATTTGAGCGGGTGTGGCACCATTCAAGCACATACCTTTAATGATTGACTTGTTATCACGAGTAAGAACAGCCATATGTGTGAGCAAATACAAATATAATTATAGGCTTAGTGAGAAAAGAAATCTGCAATAAAAAATTTACATTTGATAGCCCTATCTACAGGCTTGGCCTAGATTTATTTTGTGTAACAGCTCTGATTCCAGAACTTTTATTATATTTTTTTCAAACATAGCCTTCAAAAAATGATTATTTTTTGGATTCTAAAGTATACTTTTGAGATTACTTTTTTTTGCATAAAAGTAATATTATTTCTATGGATAAATTGTTAGAAGTCTGGACTTTGTGTATTCATATATTTTGCTATAGCAGCTATTATAAAAGTATATAAACTCTACGCCTGTGTTGCCATGGCATAAGCAGTTGTAGATATTAAAAAATGTAAAAAAATTTCAAGCATTTTTTGAACCCACTTTAAATACATTGGTTGGACACCATTAGGCAATGGCTTTGGAAGAACACAGCAGACCTTACTTTAAATACCAGTATCTATAGAAACCAAACATTATCAAAATTCTTACTCTCGTTTTGGCTGTGGTATAGCACATGCCGATGCAAACATGGTTTTATATTTATATCAGCATGTAAATTGTGCAATTAAAACGAAGGCACATGTGAGTCAATGATTCTCCTAACTTCAAATGTTTGTTTCAAGATTAAATGTATGAAAATTATATCAGGTAATATCCGTTTTAATAAATATGTAGTGACTATGATACAGTGGCCCAATAAACTGTATCAGTCTTTTTGATTTTTAACTTCACCACTGTGTGTCTCGTGACATATTATAGCTACAAGCATGAAACTATTTGCAATAGATAGCCTAACAATGGAACTACATAATTGCATAGTAGTAAGTTACCATAAGTGTTAATAGTAAATCAATGAAAGTTTGAAAATCTCCTCGGCACTGATACAGTTTTTTGGGTCACTTCAAATTCTAAAAAGTTTGCAAACAAATAAATATTTTAACTAAACTAGCCACCCAATAGCAATAGAGTATATTTATATTACTTAAGCATACTGTTACTGTTGTAAAGTCACTAACCTTGTTTATCATGAAGGCATACTTTGGTTAATAAATATTAATGATTGATTGTTTGCTAATATATTAGTGATTACTAGCATCAAATGGAAACTACATACCCAAATATAAGCAAATTAGTACCACAATTACAACAAGCTATAATGATATTTGTAAAATGTTTGCTGGGTTAGGAAATTTCTTATAGGGAAAAATAATCTATAAAGTTGGATGTATAGTCATATTGATGAGGTAGATTAATCAACATCAAATAACCAAATTGTATCCAATCTAAAGTATCATGTGCTACAATTGATCTAGTTGTGGTGTGGGATCTAATATTAATTAATTTTATATTGCAGTCAACTCGCTTTAGAGTGACACCCTTTCAAAGATTGATGTGGCAATTTTAGTATATTTTCTGTCTATTAAAATTGCATTACTAAACTATCTTGCATAAGCAAGTACACATATGCAACTAGTCTATGTAGTTAATCTATTAAAATACAGTGAAACGTAATTATTAGCCAATTTAAAATACATTCCAGTTAGAGTCTTTGTTGTTATATTCTTAGCAACATTTTAATAAATTATTATAATGAATTTGATATAATCTTCAGCTTACCATCACATCTATATTATTTGACTTTAGGCAAATTCAATACTAGAATTAGAACCACAGATATTACATACTACTGCATGAGCATTTTGGTAGAATCCACTGCTTGATCCATTAATTAAATTGTAATTATGTGATAAAAAAGCTGATTATTATTGTATACTTTATATTATAACTATCTTTTGACGGATCAAAACACACTGATAATAGGTTGATCATATTAGAGTGCACTTTGGCAATGCTATAGACAATATTAGAAACACTTGCTGCTTAGCTTCTAATGGAATTTGCTTATATACAGTGATTGTAGCATTTGCTTGACCAATGTGGCTCCATTTCTGGAGGTCATACCAAATCATCTGGCCAGTTGACACACCTTCAGCCGTTCAGAGGTTAGGGGCTTTCATATTTACAGCATAGAACCAACTGGTCTTTTTGGGCTATACGGTAGGGGACCTGCTTGATCCTGGGGGGATCCTGGTTCATAGGCCGAATAAATATTCAAAGAATATATTAAATTATTGGTAGTAGATTGGATAATAAAAACAAAATAAGTATATTATATATGAAGCAATGTGCCAAGATTATTTAAATAAGTAATAAGTAGGCAAATGCTCACAGACTATGAGGTATTAGATGACCCCCTCTGTAAATTAAATGGCAATCAATGCAAAAGTTAACAAATGTAAGCAGAGTGCAATAGACAACAATTACAGGTTTCTACTAGTTTACAGTAAGATTATACATAAAGTTATAGCCAATCGAATAAAACTTTGATATCAGCCAATAAACTGTATCAATGCTAACAAAATTTTCAATCTTTTATCCCCGCCTAACAATTAAAGCACACAACTTGTTATCATTAATTTATTTAGATTCAATGCTAGCCTGTCTATTGCAAATAGTTTTATGCTTGTAGCTATAATGTGTCACGAGATACACAATGGTGAAGTTAAAAATCAAAAAGACTGATACAGTTTATTGGGCCACTGTATGTGCAATATCTATATACAGTCTACTTTAATAATATTGCCCATCAATAATTGTATCAAGCTGACATTCTACATGCTAAACAAAAAAGCACATCTGTACCTAATTGACTTTTTTATTATAATTTATTCAAAACAATAAAGTAAAGAAACACTATTAAAGCTATGTTAAGGTCTAGTATGGCGTCTGCGCAAGCATGTTTCTCTTGATTTTTTTTAGCCCAAGATGGTGATTGATAAGGATTACATCTTGAAAAAAGTTTGCAGCGACACCAGTAAGCCACAACTTTTGTACAGACCATTTCAATGACTATAGACAATAAACTTATAATAATAATACTATTATATGGTAAACAGAGTGTGTTAAACATAGGGTACTCTCAAAATACAATAATCATTTCCACAGTAAATTTGTGACATCTTTCTGGAAAATTTCTAATTTTATTAGTAATTTCAGGTTAAATTTATAAATTAACAGTATAATTACTGATTATCTATTAATACAAGTGACACATAATAGTCAACTAGTGGTTGTAAATTAATATTAAGTTTCCCTATTTTCTGTAATTCTATATACATAAACAATAATCGGAACACATCATCAGCTGTGTGCAATGGTACTGTTTCGAAATTAATAGAAAATGAGAGTTCTTCATTTCCCACGACTAAAACACCGGTTTTAGATCCTATTGTTTCAACAAATGGTTTGTGAGACAAATAGTTTAAATTTATAATTTCATCTTCCAGTTCATCATCAAACCATATTCTAGTAATTCCAATTTGTGACGGTGTAATATTGTTTAATGAATCATATATATCCTTAGGATATGTAGTAGCAGTTATTGGTATTTTTAATTTTTGTTTAATAAGACCTTCTAAACTATTAGAAAAGCAATGTATAAACGGATAAACATCTTTTGTTGCATCTAGCATGTATTTATAGCTACATGTTGCTTTACAGCCACAGCTGCAGTTGATTGGGCAGCTACAGTCACATCCAATTGCATGGATGCATATACACATGCATTCCTCTTCAGCTATCATATCGATATTATCAATTTCTATGTAATTAAATATAATAGAATTAGTTTACAGATAAACATATAATATTTTGATATTAAATTATTTTCAAGAGGAAAAAAAAAGAAAGATACATTATTTCTTCTATAAAAAATAGTTCTGACAAGCCTCTCCTTCTCAGACATAATGTGGACATGCATTTTCTTTTTAAAATAAAACAAAGCTACTAAAGTCTAGAGCAAATCTTGTTTGCTTCCTTTTTCCAAAGGATGGTGACTGCATAATTTAACTCATGCCAAGCTGGTCCAAGTTGCAAATTAGTCCAAGCTAGGTTGTGTATTTTTGATAAATTTAATATTTTTAAGCATTGTACTGCTATTAGTAGCTGGTAAAAGTAATGTGTCAGTATCAAGTGATCCAACTGCACATGAATTAAATTTAGTGTTTATTAAATGTAAAATAGGGGACTGCTTACTTTTAGTATGTAATTATAACCAAGTTTAATTTGAGTTAGTATTTCAGTAAATCCTTATTGCATAAGCTGATACCCTGCACTGTTATAAATCAATCTGTACAAAGTTGTATGCGCAGTTTTTGCTATTGAATTTTTAGGTCACCAGAGACGGGTGGTTGTTTAATTCCGAACTTCTGAATTAACAGATTAGATCAAGTTATATGTTTTCTGGGGGCTTTAGCTCAGTTTGGGAGAGCGTGCGACTGAAGATCGTACGGTCCCGTGTTCGATCCACGGAAGCCCCACTAGGTACCTCTCTTTTTGCGTGTGGTGGGTCCGCAAGCAGTCTTTTGGATAGCTAGCGGGTACAATCGCTGGCGTGGACAGGTTGGCTATCAGATCTTGCCCATGTGCGCCATCTTTTTTATTTGCCGCGCTACTGCCTTCTCTTGAATCACCGCGGCAATTCGCGCTTGCAGACAGGCCATGTCCCGCTCACTCATCCTTGTTTCCGTTAGAGTTTTTTATTGCCAAAACAACGCAAACCAAAATAAAGGAATGTCATCACACGTGTGTGCATATACGCACATGCGGTCATTACAGCGAATGCGGGAATCAGATGGGTGATGCGTGATGGTCCACTATACACTGCGGATATGCACCAGAGTCAAATTGCAGACAAAAGAGGAAGCGACAGAGGAGGGGGTGGGCGAAATGACGGGCAGATGTGTATGGTTTTTATTTTGGGCAGCCCCTTGCGTCGGCAGTCGGTGTAGTGTTGCCTGCCCAGTAATATATAGCACTTTTTGTTGTTGACACATTTCGAATTATTGCCCGGGTGCAAATCGCAAGTCATTACGCAGCCAAGACGTGATGGCTGTAGGATCACCAGCATCATGTCCGAATTCACCTGCTTTTCCCCCACTTCCACATGAACGCTGGCTGGCTGGCTGGCTGGCTGGCTTGCTGGCTGACTGCGTACACGAGCGGAATGGAGGTTTATCATCCGATGGATTGCGGCCGTGGTTGCCAGAGACTGTGGAATACGGCGGGCGACAATGGGCCGCTAGAATAACAGTGGTGACAGTGGGGGTGGAGGGGCAGCGACGGCGAGCAGTATTCCGATTGTTTACGCTAAATGAATAGGGGAGCGAGAGAGTGCGTGTGCGCAATAAGATCATTTTTTGCGTTGTCTGCTCAACAATCAGAGATGTCTGCGCCGTAAACGGAGCAATAGCGCGTATCAGAAGGTAGGTAATAATTGCCCCTCCTCTCCAGATAGGAAAGAGTGGAGGTCACGCTGTGCTTCGCCTTGTGAAACAAGGGCGCGTTTTATTGTAGTATGCAGCGCAGACGTGCAGGTTAGCAGGTCAGGACAGGACAGGACGCGAGTGCAAGTGCGAGTGCGAAGGGGGGGGGGCGGGTGACGAGGACAAGCAGGAGAGGAAGCGCATACGAAAAAAAACAGGGCATGATTGCCACCTATAGTGCTCGATAGAGTGTGGAAATCAGAAAAAAACAAAAAAACAAAAACCAAGCGGGGCATGCATGACGACGACGAAGACGAACGTGAGGGTGAAGCTGAGCGTAGCGGCAGCGGCGGCGGCAGCAGAAAAGAGGGGGCAAATATCGGGCAGCTGGCGCTCCTTTGTAGTATTTCTTCAATGAGGAGGGGAGAGACTACGCGAGATTTGCAGGTGTAAACAAACAGGAGGATCAACACGAAAAAATACGTGCACCCCCCTCTCTCTCTCTTTCTTTCTGGGCGTCAACAAACACAAGATGCTGGCACCCCCTTTTCAAAGCCCTCTTCGCAACCCACCCCCCACCCCACCCGCACCAATATTTGCCATTTAAAACACCGTTCTGTTTCCCTTCCATCCTTGGGACATCCTTCGCTTCCTTTTTTCCACTTCCACCCTTCACTCACATCCTCTGGCCCTACGCAGGCTCTTCACTTTTATTTCAGACATTTAAATACCTGCTGCGGCGTGCAATGTTTTAAAAAAACAACCTGCGCACCCTAAAAACCACGGCACTTTCTCTTTCCTTCACTTACTGGCACAAGCATCCATTATATTTCTTACCTTTTTTTTGTTAAATAAGCGGTTCCAAAAACTCTCATATCTTATCACCACAGCTGAGGTTCCTTATTTCTTTGTATCGAATTCTCTTTTATTTTTTGCATCACTATCGTTATTAAGCAGCAAAAAAACCATGGCCACTGCAGTTGAAGATAGCTGGATTGTTGTAGACAAGACGTCTGACGGGTCTCTGCGCGCCAAGGCCAGCCACGAGTCGCTCTACCTAAGCGACGACGACGAGCCCGCGTGCAAGCCGCGCGTGCACGTCAAGGCGAAGCGCAGCGACGACGCCCTGGCGCCCGAGCTGCTCGAGTGGATCAGCAACGCGGCCAACGAGTCCTCAACGGCACTCCCCTTGGCGAACCGCAACTCGTCGGTGTCCAAGTGCTCGTACCGCACGAACAGCAGCTCGGCGGGCAGCAAGCAGAGGAGGACGCCGAGGCGGTCCAGCGTGCATGCGACGTCTGAGGTGTCCAGCCTGCTGAATCGCAACAGCCTGGGGCAGGGCCTCGACGGCATCGACATGTTTAACGAAGGACTGTTTGTAGTCAAGGTGCTTGAGGTCAAGCAGGTCGGCGCCACGAAACGTAAGTTCACCAGCACATTTATCTTTTTAGCCGCACATAATGGATGGCATTCATGGATGCAACGCATTCCTTTCCGTTCGGGCCACAATGTCGATTGTTTATTTTTAAAACCGGCTCTTTTTGTCTAATTTCCTTTGTGGACCTGTGGGACCGCCTTTTCAGGAAAAAAAAAACCTGGTCTTTCGCATTCCCCCCATCACCACCATTACCATCCCACACATCCCATCCGACACATCCGATTTGTCCATGGTCGCTTTTTCTTGTTTGCATGCATGGCACCGGCAACAATCGAGTTCAGCCTTGCTAATCCACCAAAACGTGTCTGTCGCATCGATTGTGCACCTTCTTACACCTTCCCCCAAAAAAATGTAGCGATGAATCTGCAGTGCGTGGCCAATGTCGGCGAGGAGCGGTTCGTGATCCCGCCGGTGCTGAGCAAGCCGAAGAACTACAACACGTGGTCGTCCAAGATGGACGACACGTTCGTGTTCGACGTCAGCCGGCAGTTCACGTTCAACCTGGGCGTCTACGGCACGCACCCGCACCAGCCCCGGCGCAACACGGCGGCCACGGTGGCCAGCCGCGTGTCGATGGCGTCGCGGCGCCACCTGGGCCGCAGCATGCTGAACGACTCCAACCCGTCGCTGCTGTCCAACGGCTCGACGCGCACGACGGCCAAGATCAAGCGCGGCTTCCGCAAGATCTTCCGCAACAAAAACGGCGGAGAGGAGGCCGACGACCCGGCGTACGCGGGCACGCCGCCGGCGACGCCCATGGGCAGCGCACGCAACAGCATGATGGGCATGCCGGGCAGCAGCACGAGCGTGGGCGAGGACGCGCGCCACATGGTGGACAACGACCTGGTGCAGACCGAAGAGACGACGGACGAGATGGGGCGGTCGATCGAGGTGCAGAAGCACACGCCGTCGATGGCCGGGTCGATAGCCGAGCTGACGGCGCTGCACGGCGCGTCGAGCTCCAGCCTCAACCCCTCGCTGGACGGCCCGCAGCACGGCCACCTGCAGCACCCGGCGCTGGCCCGCCTGTCGACGTACCTGCCGCGCGGGCGCACCAGCACCACGACGTCGGCCCACGAGATCAACTACAACGGGCCCCGCCTGCGCGCCTTCTCAAACGCGTCCACGATCAGCTCGACGCCGCAGCCACTGGGCGAGCTGTACCTGGACTTCAAGGTGGACCGGCGCGAGAAGCGCCGCGCCACGTTCACCCTGCCGGTGGTCAACCAGGACCAGGTGGCCATGCGCGGCGGCTCGCACGTCGAGATGGCCGTGGTGCTCGAGTACGGCATCATTGTGCACGAGACCTTTGAGGAGCGCGCCGCCCGCCAGCGCAGCGAGTTGCAGCGCGAGGAGGCCGACCGCCAGGTGCTGGCGCAGCAGCAGGCCGAGCGCCAGTGGGCCGAGGTCGACGAGCAGGACAGGCTGCCGAGGCTGCGCGGCTACCTCTCCGTGTTCACCCGCAGCGGACGGCTGTCCACGTGGAAGCGCTACTGGGCCGTGCTCAGCTGCGCCCGCGTGCTGTTCTACGAGAGCGAGGCCGACGAGGCCAAGGGCGTGCAGCCCGTGGCCAAGATCTCGCTCGTGCACCTGCTCGACGCCGGCATCCCGCAGAGCGACCTGATCAACATCGGCCCCACGGGCATCGAACTGCGCCTGTCGCCGCTGTCGATGACCGACCGCCACCGCCGCAAGAGCGCCTTCCCGCGCAAGTCCGCCGGCGAGGACATGGGCCACAAGATGCGCAAGGACGCACGTGCCTTTGCCGACCACATGCCCGACCTGCGCAGCCTGCGCATCTCGCACACCAGCTCCGAGTCCATCGACCGCACGCTGACCTCGGCGCCCGCCGGGCTCAACCAGGCGGACGAGGAAAAAGCAGAGGAGGAGGAGGACGAGGACGACGCCACGCTGCACAAGTACAGCGACTGGCAGTGCCGAGTGTACCTTCTGCTCGAGACCCTGGGCGACCGCGACCAGTGGCTGCACGAGCTGACGCACATCACCGTGCCGAGCGCCGAGTTTGCGCGCATGCGCGCCAAGCAGCGGGCGCTGTGGCGCCGGGCGCAGTTCGAGAGCGCCACAGAGTCGCTGCGCCAGTCGGGCAAGGCCCTGCAGGTCGTCGCGGCCCAGGCGCTGGACAAAAAGTCCGAGGCGCACAACGCCCAGGCAAAGAAGGCCTTCGCCGACTCGGTCGGCCAGCGCGTTGTGTCGACCGCGGCTGTCGCCAGCAAGTCCGACGACCTGGCTGGCGACACGCTGACCAGCTCGGGCGCCTTTGAGTTTGGCATCCCCAATGCTTCGGCGCCGGCTATCAAGAAGGCCGCCGTGGCCATGGCCTTCGGCAAGCCCGCCACTTTCAGCCTGTCCATTGTGCCCACCACCACGATCAACGTGCAGGGCCACGCGAGCCAGCTGCCGGCAAAGAAGAAGCTGCGCGCCAGGCGCAAGTCCAACAGCATGGCTAATCTGCGCCAGAGCTTCGACACGAGCGCCACGCTGGCTGGGTCTTCGGACGACGAGAACGTGGCCCCCAAGGCTGCTGGCCTCAGCATCTACTCGGCCGCTGGCCGCAAGCCGAATTTTACGGCTACGCCGCGCTGCGACTCGTCGGGCA